CCCCCCAAAAATGAATTTTTCTGTTTTTTGTTTTACCTTTACCCTGGCAATCACTAAAAGGAAGCATCCTAAGTCAGATTTGGGCAAAAGTTTTTTTTCAAAGCCTTTATAAAATTCGAGCAGTTACGAAGACTTTTGAATGACCAAAACGATTGATATAATGTCTTAGGCAACGGTCGATGGTTTTGGAAGAAGAATCTCATGACCCCTTCGATGGCCTACAGCGTGAGCGTATGATTTATTTCCGCTACAAATGGTTGCTATGAAAGTGATGATATATCACTGAAATGAATACGTTCAGTAATTCCTTCAGGAAGTTTTGTGATCTTTTACCCTAACCCCATGCTGTTTCTCTTTCTTTGGCCGTTTGATGTTCTTGTAAAGAACATTGCATTTTTTTGTTCAGTAGTACAGTTGTACAGTAATAGGCGAGATAACTCTAGTCTTGATATTCCCATTGCCATCCTCGAGGTCTTTCTATGATCTCCTATTAATATATAGATTTCGCCAGAGCTAAAAGCGGAGCTTCCGCCTTTGCATTTTAAATTTAATTACTACAGACAAAAACAACAAACAACAACAATCTATTCCACACAGTTCAGATATAAAGTGAATACAAACTCAGATAATGCTAACCGCGTAGGTTACTCGTACGGATGTCGTATGTATATGTGGTTGAACAAGCGTAGTGTTTTAGTCTTGAACATTAGCAACAAACAGAGAAAAAACTTACAACTCTCCTAGGTCAGATAAGTCGGAGAAGATCCCAGGTGGAAGCTGCTCAATTTTGTTGGTGTGCATCACCCTGCAAGAATGAGTTAGCGTATCTTCATGACAAAAATGATTCATGAAATAAAACAGCCTCGTCAAAATCCATTTTAAATCTCGGTTCAATTTAATAAAACGTTTAATTTGCAAATGTAGCCATTGTTTTAGAGTCTGAATACAACAGCTGCTAACACTAGTAAATTACACCATTTGTCTTAGAGCTTTGATCAAATTGACCCCTGGTCATCCCTTATATCTGACCTCTGTATTATGTCATTAAAGAAAACTATGGACATTAAAGAAAACTAAATTATTGATGCTCTATATACTATTTTGAATGCACCTACTACTTTCTCGCCTTCTTGTAAGCTACAATCTCAGACAAAAACCTTGAAACACTTTGGAAAATTCTGCTCCCCTTGTTCCCATATACATATACATATAACACTTTCCAGTGGCCTCTGTGAACTCTAAAAAATTGTTTGGGGAGTCCCATGAAGCATAAGACCTTCAATTCGGTTGCGCGTTAGCATGGTTGCGTTGGTGGTGTAGTGGTTAACACATCGACACTAGACAGTCGATGAAGCAGGTTCAAATCCCGTTCATGGTAATTTTTAGAATTTCACTTGTGTTAATTTATTTCTTTATTTCACTGGTTTCAGTTTTATATACATATACATATCAATATATAGAAGCAAGTGTCCATTTTCCGCATTAACGGTTGTCCGTATTAAGCGTGTTAGGTCTACAGAAAATCTGAGGTCTTTACCCAGGGACAAGAGAAGCTGTCAATAATAATTAACAAGGTGTGCGTGTTAAGTGGGTACCCGTAAAGAGGGGTTCAAGAAACGTACGGTAGCTTGTAAATATCGAAGGTATGGTATTGTGGGATCCTACTTTGGCTGGACTTTTGAATTTAGAAAACACAATGCATTTTGTTGTTCAGTCAATCTCCTGTCGACCCTCTAGGTGAAGCAACCATCGGAGGCACATGTGCCTGTGTTCAGACCTTTGTCTTTTGTAAGGGTTTTACTGCAAGCGGCTCTCTCGACCCACCTAAACAGCACCACGTACTCACAAAAGGGTTGTGTGGTACAAGACTGACTGATTCTGCAAAAACGGAGCTACTCTGGATTTCACTCATGAAACCTGGCGCCTCCGCATTGCTATCTAAGCTAAGATAGCCTTTTACACAGGAAAAATTAGACATTACCGCAAAAAGATTACAAGCGTATTTGCCCCGGATGTTTGAAATACGCAACTAAGAATTTCTTAAGATCTAGGCGAAAATTGCTGCTAGCCACACAAGCTAAACGACGCAATTTTTCTCTTGTGACTTAAAAGGTGACATAAAGAGCAAACATGTAATTAAAAAAAGCGGCCCCCGAAGCAATGTCTGCGACACCTAAACTTGCGAAATGTGTTTTTTAGTTAAACGAAATAATTGACCAAGGGTGATTTCAAATCACCGTAGGCTCACTTGTATCAAGTTTCTTTTTAGAGGTCTAACTCCGTCATGTTGGCCCGTCCTCTCCTTCGCGAACATTTCCAAATTTTAGGATCGTTCTTCTTTTTACCGCGTACAAACACTGCAATTTTACTGGATTTGTACTGCGGTATTATCAAAGAGACTGGGCTTTTTTTCGCCTGGGCTCCCAAACTACCTAGAAAGTGTGAGAGTAAACATTAATTGCCCTGTGATGCGGACGGACTGTCGTTCGTTCGGTCGGCGTACGGCCAAGAGATTGCAACATTTTCTGAAATGGGTAGATTCACTTACCCGTGGTGCTCGACAGGTGCGTGCGTGAGCGCCGCTATTAGTAATTAATGAAAACGAGTGAGGTGTCCCCCATTTTTGTTTTTACAACCAAAACAACTCAACCTCCTCGCCAGGACTTCTCGGTAACGGTGCCTTAACCTGTCGCGGGCTACATTTTTTGACGCCATTTCCTTGTTAACCACAAAATTCTTCTAAATTCGGTCACCAGTAACTGAGTATGATGAATTATGCGTGTGCTTTCAGCGACTCGGAATTGGGGTAAAAAATTGAATGAATTATAATTAAAGTTAATTATCTGTTCCACATGCTGCCTCTGATGAAAACAGGTTGACATAACCATCGGCTCCAGAGCAAAATAAGGTTACTTATTAAATCTTGATCTGTGTTGCTTGACTAGAGAGTGGTTCCCTTTCTTGTCTTTAAAATTGACTGGTGAGAGACTTGGGAATAGACTGAAGCATTTTTTTAAAATGCACATTAGATACATCTGTGCTTGGCGCTTTTGTGTTAACTCTCCCGCTTTATGCACCTTCTATGCTAAGCCGTGTAGGTTCCCTTTACGGACTCTTATATACATGGTTGCTTGCGTAATATACTGGTTGTAATCTCCATAATAAGCAACAGACAATTTAAAAAAAATACAAAGTTACAACTTCTGTAGCTTAGATAGATTGTAAAATATCCCAGATGGAAGCTGTTTAATTTGGTTGTTGTACAGGCACACGCAAGAATAAGGTTGAGGTTAAGTAAGAATTATTAGTGAAAGACGACCTCATCCTTGTTTGTTTATTTATTTATTTATTTTCTTGTTTGTTTGTTTGTCGTTGGAGCTATGTTATAAACACTACTTTTCATGCACCTACCTGCATTGTTTATAGGTCTATTTGTTTTCCATGCCTAATCTACTGTGACTGAACATGATTGCTATTTTGGGGTGTACAAATAAGACTATTAACTCCGCGATGTAAAATTTGTTTCACTCTTGAACTGTCAAATTATTTTTCTCTAAAATCACTTATCCTTCGCGTCAAAAGTCACATGAATGTGCCCTGATCTGTGGATTACAAGTTTATTGTTTGATTTAAATTATGAATTTATTAACGGGAGCTTCGCTTTTAGCCCTGGCTAAATCTATATATTAGATTAAACTGACGACTAACAAGATATATTAAAGTAATTGGTGCAAGTCCATGGTTTGCACTATTTTATTGTCATTGATTATTTTAGTTTAAAATTAGAAAAGGGTTTAAAGGTCAAATGAGCCCCCCCAAAAATGAATTTTTCTGTTTTTTGTTTTACCTTTACCCTGGCAATCACTAAAAGGAAGCATCCTAAGTCAGATTTGGGCAAAGGTTTTTTTTTTTCAAAGCCTTTATAAAATCCGAGCAGTTACGAAGACTTTTGAATGACCAAAACGATTGATATAATGTGTTAGGCAACGGCCGATGGTTTTGGAAGAAGAATCTCATGGCCCCTTCGATGGCCTACAGCGTGAGCGTATGATTTATTTCCGCTGCAAATGGTTGCTAGGAAAGTGACGATATATCATATACATATACATATAGCACCTTCCAGTGGCCTCTGTGAACTCTAAAAAATTGTTTGGGGAGTCCCGTAAACAATAAAGCCTTCAATTCGGCTGCGCGTTAGCGTAGTTGCCTTGGTGGTTTAGTGGTTAACACATCGACACTAGAAAGTCGAGTACGCAGGTTCAAATCCCGTTCAAGGTAATTTTTAGAATTTCACTTGTGTTCGTTTATTTCTTTATTCTACTGATTTCATTTTCATATACATATATATATAAATATCAATATATAGAAGCAAGTTTCCATTATCCGTATAAACGGTTGTCCGTATTAAGCGTGTTAGGTCTCGAGAAAATCTGACGTCTTTGCCCAGGGACAAGGGAAACTGTCAATTAATAATTAACAAGGTGTGCGTGTTAAGTGGGTTCCCGTAAAGAGGGGTTCAAGAAACGTACGGTAGTTGGTAAATATCGAGGCTATGGCATTGTGGGATCCTACTTTGGCTGGACTTTCGAATTTAGAAAACACAATGTACTTTGTTGCTCAGTCAATCTCCTGTCGACCCTCTTAGTGAAGCAACCATCGGAGGCACATGTACCTCTGTTCAGACCTTTGTCTTTTGTAAGGGTTTCACTGCAAGCGGCTCTCTCGACCAACATAAACAGCGCCATGTACTCACAAAAGGGTTGTGTGGTACAAGACTGGCTGATTCTGCAAAAACGGAGCTATTCTGGATTTCACTCATGAAACCTGGCGCCTCTGCATGGCTATCTAAGCTAAGATAGCCTTTTACACAGGAAAAGTAAGGCATTACCGCAAAAAGATTGTATGTATGTATGTATGTATGTATGTATGTAAATCTTTATTTAAACACGGGAAATCATCAGTTAAGCTTAAGTTAAAAACTAAAACTAATTACAACTGCTTTACATGATTGCCGTGTGGGAATCCGATATATCAGCTACCTTCTTGATATTTCGCTTAAAATGCTCAACGGATGCAGCGTTTTTTAAGTTTTTGGGCAAGTTATTCCATAACATGGCCCCGCTGTAAGAGAAGCTTCGTTTCAAATAATTGGTGCTTGGTTTGGACAAGGTCAGCCTTCCCTCAGAGTTTCTTAAGTTGTAAGCAGAGTGACGCTGAGAGAAAAGACTTTGCAGATATTCTGGAGCAAGGTCATTCATGGTTTTATACATCACTCAAGCTTATCACTCAAGTAACCACTCAAACAGTCCCAGACGGGGCTGCAGAAATCAAAATGAGGCATAATTAAAGCGTTATAAATTTGAATTGCAGTTTCTTTGGATATAAAGGGCCGCACACGTTTTATACATCACTCACGCTTATCACTCAAGTAACCACTCAAACAGTCCCAGACGGGGCTGCAGTAATCAAAATGAGGCATAATTAAAGCGTTATAAATTTGAATTGCAGTTTCTTTGGATATAAAGGGCCGCACACGTTTTAGGGCGCCTATAGCTGAAGAGACTTTCTTGCAAATCTCTTCAACGTGTTTACCCCAAGAGAGTTGAGCATCTATGGTAAGACCCAAGGATTTGGTATGATCGACTCTCTTAATAATTTGGTCATCAATTCTGATTTCTACATCGTCACATTGGGCAGATAGTCTTTGTCTTGATCCAATAATCATTAGCTCTGTTTTAGCAACATTTAGACTGAGCTTCTTAGCTTTCAGCCAACAGCTAAGGTTATTTAATTCAGGGGTTAGAGCTAGCTTAAGCTCTGTTAACGTCTTAGCAGATAACGTAAGGTTGGTGTCGTCGGCAAACATTCTTGGTACGGCGCCCCGCAGGGAGTTGGGAAGATCATTAATGTAAATTAAAAATAGCAAAGGACCCAATATGCTACCCTGCGGCACGCCGCAACTGAGGGTACGAGCAGATGATAGTTTGCCACTGACATTACATCTTTGGGTTCGGCCACTTAAGTACGACGAGAACCATTTTTATAGCTGCCTGATCGACACCCAAGTACGACATCTTACGCAAGATGATCTCATGATCAATGGTGTCGAATGCCTTAGTAAGGTCAATAAAGACAACGCCATTTAGAAGGCCATTGTCGATGTTTACTGACCAAGCATTTGTTGCCTCAAGCAAAGCCGTGAGCGTACTATGTAGAGAACGGAACCCTGATTGGCAACCTAGTAGCAATTTATTATCATCTAGATAATGGAAAAGTTGATTATAAACAATTCTTTCAAAAACTTTCGAAATTATAGGGATTACAGATATCGGCCTGTAGTTGTTAGGGTCCGATTTAATGCCCTTTTTAAAAAGTGGAGTCACTTTGGCTGTTTTCCAATCGTTTGGATATATCCCAGTGAGAATAGACTTTGAGAATATTGAGGTAAGAGAGAGTGCGACGATATCAGCAGCCATTTTCAACAATTTACTCGGAATCATATCAAGACCGGTGGCTTTCTTTTCATCAATTTTTGACAAAACGTTAGAAACAATATCAACACTCGGAATTTGCAGAGAAAACGAATGATCAGTGGGCTTTAAATAAGACTCAGGATTAACATCGACAACAGGAATATCTTGTGCTAATACTTGCGCAACGTTTGTAAAGTGATCGTTAATAGTTTCCGCAATGTCCATCGGCTTTAGAGAAAATTAGGTTCCTTATTAAATCTTGATCTGTGCTGCTTGACTAGAGAGTGGCTCCTTTTCTTGTCTTGTCTTTAAAATTGACTGGTGAGAGACTTGGGAATAGACTCAAGCATTTTTTTTAAATGCGCAATAGATACATCTGTGCTTGGCACTTTTGTGTTAACTCTCCTACTTTATGCACCTTCTATGCTAAGCCGTGTAGGTTCCCTTTACGGACTCTTATATACATGGTTGCTTGCGTAATATAGTGGTTGTAATCTCGACAATAAGCAGCAGACAATTAAAAAAAAATACAAACTTACAACATCTGTAGCTTAGATAGATTGTAAAATATCCCAAATGAAAGCTGTTTAATTTGGTTGTTGTACAGCCACCTGCAAGAATAACGTTGAGGTTAAGTAAGAATTATTAGTGAAAGACGACCTCATCCTTGTCTATTTATTTATTTATTTATTCATTTTCTTGTTTGTTTGTTTGTCGTTGGAGCTATGTTATAAATGTTATTTTTCATGCACCTACCTGCATTGTTTATAGGTCTATTTGTTTTCCAGGCCTAATCTACTGTGACTGAACATGATTGCTATTTTGGGGTGTACAAATAAGACTATTAACTCCGCGATGTAAAATTTGTTTCACTCTTGAACTGTCAAATTATCCTTCGCCTCAAAAGTCACATGAATGTGCCCTGATCTGTGGATTACAAGTTTATTGTTTGATTTAAATTATGAATTTATTAACGGGAGCTTCGCCTTTAGCCCTGGCTAAATCTATATATTAGATTAAACTGACGACTAACAAGATATATTTAAGTAATTTGTGCAAGTCCATGGTTTGCACTATTTTATTATCATTGATTATTTTAGTTTAAAACTAGAAGAGGGTTTAAAGGTCAAATGAAAAAAAATAATAAATTTTTTTCTCTTTTTTTTTTCACCTTTACCCTGGCAATCACTAAAAGAAAGCATCCTAAGTGAGATTTGGGCAAAAGTTTTTTTTCAAAGCCTTTATAAAATCCGAGCAGTTACGAAGACTTTTGAATGACCAAAACGATTGATATAATGTCTTAGGCAACGGCCGATGGTTCTGGAAGTAGAATCTCATGACCCCTTCGATGGCCTACAGCGTGAGCGTATGATTTATTTCCGCTACAAATGGTTGCTATGAAAGTGACGATATATCATTGAAATGAATACGTTTAGTAATTCCTTCAGGAAGTTTTGTGATCTTTTAGCCTAACCCCATGCTGTTTCTCTTTCTTTGGCCGTTTGATGTTCTTGTAAAGAACATTGCATTTTTTTGTTCAGTAGTACAGTTGTACAGTAATAGGCGTGATAACTCTAGTTTTGATATTCCCATTGCCATCCTCGAGGTCTTTCTATGATCTCCTATTAATATATAGATTTAGCCAGAGCTAAAAGCGGAGCTTCCGCTTTTTGCATTTTAAATTTAATTACTACAGACAAAAACAACAAAAAACAACAATCTTTTCTACATGGTTCAGATATAAAGTGAATACAAACTCAGATAATTAGTTATAGGTAAAAGAAGTCAGAAAATAAAGTATCCTACAGTATCCTACATCGCTTTTGAGTGATGTTGCCGGCATCTTTATGTTTCTTGTATGCTAGCCTCGTAGGTTACTCGTACGGATATCGTATGTATATGTGGTTGAACAAACGTAGTGTTTTAGTCTTGAACATTAGCAACAAACAGAGAAAAAACTTACAACTCTCTTAGGTCAGATAGGTCGGAGAAGATCCCAGGTGGAAGCTGCTCAATTCTGTTGGTGTGCAGCGACCTGCAAGAATGAGTTAACGTAACTTCATGACAAAAATGATTCATGAAATAAAACAGCCTCGTCAAAATCCACTTTAAATCTGGGTTCAATTTCATAAAACGTTTAATTTACAAATGTAGCCATTGTTTTAGAGTCTGAATACAATAGCCGCTAACCCTAGTAAATTACATCATTCGTTTTAGAGGTTTTATCAAATTGACCCCTGGTCAACGCTTGTTGCTGACCTCTGTATTATGTCATTAAAGAAAACTATGGTCATTAAAGAAAATTAAATTATTGATGCTCTATATACTATTTGACATGCACCTACTACTTTCTCGCCCTCTTGTAAGCTACAATCTCACACAAAAACCTTGAAACACTTCGGACAATTCTGCTCCCTTTGTTCCCATATACATATACATATAGCACCTTTCAGTGACCTCTACAAACTCTTAAAAATTGTTTGGGGAGTCCTGTGAACCATTAAGCCTTCAATTCGGCTGCGCGTTAGCGTGGTTGCCTTGGTGGTGTAGTGGTTAACATATCGACACTAGAAAGTCGAGGACGCAGGTTCAAATCCCGTTCAAGGTAATTTTTAGAGTTTCACTTGTGTTCATTTATTTCTTTATTTCACTGGTTTCATATACATATACATATAGATATACATATACATATACATATACATATCAATATATCAGTGATATATAGGAGCAAGTGTCCATTATCCGCATAAACGGCTGTCCGTATTAAGCGTGTGGTTGGTCTCGATAAAATCTGTGGTCTTTACCAAGGACACGGGAAACTGTCAATAATAATTAACAAGGTGTGCGTGTTAAGTGGGTACGCGTAAAGAGGGGTTCAAGAAACGTATGATAGCTGGTAAATATCGAGGCTATGGTATTGTGGGATCCTACTTTGGCTGGACTTTCGAATTTAGAAAACACAATGCATTTTTTTGTTCAGTCAATCTCCTTTCGACCCTCTTGGTGAAGCAACCATCGGAGGCACATGTACCTCTGTTCAGACCTTTGTCTCTCTCGACCCACATAAAAAGCGCCATGTACTCATAAAAGGGTTGTTTGGTACAAGATTGGCTGATTCTGCAAAAAATTAGCTATTCTGGATGTCACTCATGAAACCTGGCGCCTCTGCATTGCTATCTATGCTAAGATGGCCTTTTACACCGGAAAAATTAGGCATTACCGCAAAAAGATTACAAGCTTATTTGCCCCGGATGTTTGAAATACGTAACGAATAATTTCTTAAAATCTAGGCGAAAATTGCTGCTAGCCACACAAGCTAAACGATGCAATTTTTCCGAAAAACGTTCTCTAATTGACGGCTCTTGTGACTTAAAAGGTGACATAAAGAGCAACGAATAATTTTAAAAAGTGGTCCCCGAAGCAATGTCTGCGACACGTAAACTTGCGAAATGTGCTTTTAGTTACACGAAATAATTGACCAAGGGTGATTTCAAATCACCGTAAGCTCATTTGTATAAAGTTTTTTTTAGAGGTCTAAGTCCGTCATGTTGGCCCGTCCTCTCCTTCGCCAGCATTTTCAAATTTTAGGATCGTTCTTCTTTTTACCGCGTACAAACACTGCAATTTTACTGGATTGGTACTGCGGTATTATCAAAGAGACTGGGCTTTTTTCCGCCTGGGCTCCCAAACTACCTAGAAAGTATGAGAGTAAACATTGGCTGCCCTGTGGTGCTAACGGACTGTCGTTCGTTCGGTCGGCGTACGCGTACGGTCAAGAAATTGCAACAGTCTCTGAAATGGGTAGATTCACTTACCCGTGGTGCTCCGCAGGTGCGTGCGTGAGCTCCGCTATTAGCAATTAATGATTACGATTGAAGTGTCCCCCATTTTTTTTTTACAACCAAAAAAACTTAACTTCGTCCCAAGGACTTCTTGGTAACGGTGCCTTAACCTGTAGCGGGCTGCATTTTTGACGTCATTTCCTCGTTAAACACAAAATTCTTCTAAATTCGGTCACGAGTAACTGGGTATGGTGAATTATAATAATAATAACTTTAATAGTAACATCCTCGTGAGGTTTTTCAGGAACTCTGTACAAACTATTTACAATTTATAAAAGCAAAAATGACAAAAAAACTCGAAATCACAATTTATGATGGTATTCTACTTAAATCTAGAGCTTATGAAGGAAATTTCTGTTTCAATAGTGTGTCTTTCAGGGCGCGCTTGAAAGATGCCAATGAGGCACTGCCTAAGTTCATTATGCAAGTTACTCCATGTGTAGGCCCCTCTGTAGGAAAATGTGCGCTGGCCTATAGCCGTTCTGTATAGCGGAATCTGCAAAGAGTTCCGTGTACAAGTGTTACGAGTACGTATATTTGAGCGCTTGGTAAACTTGCTCGTTAAGTATTGAGGCGCAAGATCGTTCTGACATTAAAAGGTCAAAACGGAGTCTCTATAGAATAATTGTTCTTTAACAGGAAGCCAGTTTAGCTCTCGAAGCAAAGGTGTTACGTGGTCAAACTTCCTAGAGTTTGTTACGATCTTGCTGGCAAAATTCTGAATAGATTGTAATCTTTTTATATTCTGGAGTCTAGTATTTGACCATACAGATGAGCAGTAAAGCATCTTACTAAAGACTAATGACGTTATTAACAACTCTAGTGTTTCCTTGTCGAAGCGCCTTTTGTCTCTATTTATCTGGCAAAGCTTTGCGAAATAAGATGACACTACACATGAAATGTGGTGATCGTAGGTCAGATGGGGGTCAAGAAAGACTCCCAAGTCCTTGGTAGAGTCTGTTGGCTTCAGTGTTTTACCTAAGAATACCACTCTAGGGTCCTCTGGTAACCTGCTTAACATCTGTCTGGTACCAAGGAAATGGTTCTCACAGCACCATTGAGCTATACTGTGAAGGTTTTGTTCGAGCTTTTCAATGGCAGCATCAAGCTCAACGAGAGGAAATGGCATGAATAGCTTTGAGTCATCCACATACGATTGTAGCTTGCAAAACGTCTTTGCCGTGGGTAAATCGTTGAGATTAATGCAGAACAACAATGGTTATAGGATTGCGCCTTGAGGAATTCCGTGAGTTATAGGTAGAGTGTCAGAGTAGGCGGAGCCAATTCTCACGTATTGCCTGCGACCAGTTAAATAGCTCTTGAACCATTTGACAGTAGAGGGTGAGGCTCCTAAGATGGAGAGTTTGTGGAGCAACCTTGGATGGTCTATACTGTCGAAGGCTTTGGATAGATCTAATAGTACTAGTGCTGTTATCTGCTTTTTATCCATTGCTTCGAGTATCTTATCCGTGAGCAGGATGTTTAAGGTCTCTGTAGAATGAACTTTTTTATTGCCGCTTTGGTGTGAGGTAAGGCGGTTGTTTTTTTGTGAGATAGGCACTGAACTAATTCAAAACAATCCTTTCGAGGACCTTTGAAGCTACGGTAGCAGAGATAACGGTCTGTTGTTGGCAGCTTTTTCATGGTCACCGTCTTTAAGAATCGGAATCACCTCAGCCTCTTTCCAGTTGTCAGGAAATGTGCTAGTAAGGATAGAACAATTGATAGGCAGTCTTTTAGTACACGAGCGCTGATCTTGTCCGGTCCCGGAGATTTATTCACTGGGAGAGATGTTACAATTCGGCGAACCTCTCCGACACTGTCCTTAAATTGAATAATTCCATAGAGATAGTATCTATGCCAGTTTCGGATGAAAAATCTCGGACTATGATGTTATGTTCTTCCCTCAGGCGCTGTACTGCGTCAGCGGCATTTAAGCCGACTTTAGCAAAAAACTGATTGAATTCGTTGGTTAAGACTGTCACATCCTTTGTAAAGGCTGGTCTCTGCTTATCTTTGGAGGGGATGGCGCGATTAATAATTTTCCAGAGTGAGCCAGAGTTGTTTTTATTAGCTGTGACCTCTTCAAAGGCGTGATCTCTTTCAGCTTCTTGTAGCTTTTTCTTGACCAAGTCACGGGGATGTTTGAAATTTATCCACTCGGTGTCTTGGCGAGACTGTATGAATTGCTTCAGGAGGAGATCTCGCGATCTCATGAGATCCTTGATTTCTTGGTTCACAAAAGGGCACGGTCTACTCCGAAGTTTAATTTGTTTCACGGGAGCGTGTAAGCTCAAGACAGACTGCAAAGTGTCATTTAAAATATTGAGCTTAGAGTCTACATCGGTTTGATCGAAGATAGTGAGCAGGGAATCCGCTTTCTTAGCTAGATCCGTGACAAAGAGATCCGAATTATACTTCTTGTAACTTCGAGTGGTAATGTACTGGGGGGTAGTCTTGGGTTTCTTAACCTTGAGCTTGACAAAAACAATTGAATGGTCACTAATTGGTCGATGTATTACACCGCTATCACGCACTGAATTGTTGGAGGAGACTAGGATAACGTCGAGCAGGGATTGAGTGGTCGCTGTTATCCTGGTTGGTTTTGTAATGAGTTGTTTCAGGTTCATATCCGTATAGAATTTCTCCAGAGCTTTGAATTCAGTGCCTGTTTTCTTGAGGCCATCACAGTTTAGGTCGTCTGGGATTGTGATCGGTTTGTCAAGCAGCAAGGCTTGAATATAGCTGGGCTTAAGAACTTCTTCGAAGGAACTCAGAGGAGAGTCGTCGGGGCGATATGTCACGCAAATTATTGTTGATTTTACTTTAATTATTGTTGATTTTAGTCTGAATTATTGTTGATTTTAGTTTTTAGATTATGCGTGTGCTTTTAGCGACTCGGAATTGGGGGAAAAATTTGAATGAATAATAATTAAAGTTAATTATCTGTTCCACATGCTGTCTCTAATGAAAACAGGTTGACATAGCCATCGGCTCCAGAGAAAATTAGGTTACTTATTGAGAGAGCGTCCATCTGAAAACCATGCAGAGTGGTCTACAGACCATCTCTCCGATTCCCTTCATATTTGGCACACTTATGCGCCTTAACTAACTGACTTAGGATGTGGAAAAGTTTAGCCCAAAATTCTATTGTTCTGGAGAAATGTCAATCAAACGGGTTTAACGGTTAAATGGACTAAAATTTCATGCACAAATGACCTCTTGTTTGATCACCTCGTGCACGCAAAATAATCAACCAAATGAAATGATTTTTTTTTCGAAGGATTGCTTGCACCCTAAACATAAGAAAAATGGTCACTTAACTATTCAATTCTGTTTCGTCTTAGTAATAGAAAAACTTAAATAAGTCAAGTAAAACTGACACCAGTGAAGTATGGTCTCAAAAGCGACTCTTTAAAGAAATGCGGCGCTGTTTTAATAAAGTTTAAAGCCATCTTGAGTTAATCAAAGAATCATTCTTACCATATGTAACAAAAAATCTTTGTAAAGTTACTATTTATTACTGTTATTTGCATTCCGAAAGTGACCATTATTTTGACGCTAATGCAAATGAGACCAACCATAAAATCTTGATTTAGCTGATATTTATCAACTTTATCCGACGGGTGACAGAATAAATACTTTTGTTGACATTATTACATTAAAATAATCCCGTGTCGCTTAAAACAAGTTGTGTTTATGTAAAAATTCGAGTTAGTTCACCTTGCGATACAATGTAATTTTGACCAAAACACACCTAAACTGAGATTATGGAAACACTAACAAATGACTTGGATTTCTAAACACGAGCAGCTTACAGTTAAATCGAATAGGGCGATTTAGTGAATTTGTCTCTTACCTTCTTTTTTCAATATAAAACGCTCATGTTGTCGTCATAACCTCTAGCAATGAAACAGCAAAACAGACGTGATCAAAATAAAGATAAACGACAGGCCGTATAAACTAACAGATTTGATCCGCGGAATCAACTTCAGTCTACACTTCTGCCTTTGTTTACCAGGTACTTGAATAAAAATGAGCATAAGTCTTCTTTTTGTCCTGAGTTGAAACGAAACTATAGATTTTGTTCTGAAGAGGAGCTAGCAAAACGTTTGACCAGAACAACAGAAGGAAATGATTGCGTGACGTTTGACGTGTGGTGACTGCAGGTGCAGATCACATGATATCAGATTTCACCCTTTCGATCCTGATGGCTGAGGGTTCTTGTAAGTGTTATTCTAGTAAAGAATGCGGTGTGTCCAGACGATACTCTGCACAAACAGCCATTGTGCCATTAAAAACGTGTACAAAAGACGTTTTACCTCACCTGAGAGGTTGCTACAAAACAACGGCTAAAGGAGTAGACTTTGAGTGGAGACTCTGCCTCTACCGAGCAGGACTCTTCCAGGAAGACGGAGATTGTTTAACTATTTGTCTCTTACACAGAGATGAGTTCGGATTAGGCTGGCGACCAAGCAAAGCATGCAAATATCCACTGCGCGACAGCAAACAAAAACCGACCAGAGGAATTACTAAACGTTTATCGGAAGAAATATATCAGAAATGGAATGTGTTGTGTGAAATCAGACAAGGTTAGCTCATATTTAGTTTATTTGACGTTGTTTAATTTAAAGACTAAGTTCGTAAAAAATCTCACTTCCTTCTTCGGATCTTTTAGGTATTTGCATGAAATGTTTGGACATGCAGTCGAAGTTTGGACCATCTGCGAGTTCGACATTTCAGATAAGTACACATTACGTCATCATAAACCTTACAACTTGATCGTGGTTTTACGTATATTTAAATAAACTATTACGGCAGTAAAGTCAGTAACAAAAAATGGTTTATTAGTTGGATTAAAAAAGGTTTCTATTAGAGAGCCATGCAGGTGTATCAGCTTTGGCCGCTTAGAATGTAAGTCTCTTTCTTGTTCCACCACGCCCTTTTGCTTAACGGCGCGGGGGACAATGAAAACTCGTTTATGTAATTTTCGCGGTTATCCCGGGAAAGAGGGTTACTCTTCCTGCCAAGTCAACTTAAGCTAGCGTTGTTAAGGAAAAAAAACAGACAAACCAAAAATAAGAAACAAGACGGGAGCCAAAAGAGCTTATACATCAGGGTGATTGTCTCCTCTTGACGGAATCGACCCCACTAGGCGCGTAACCCTTCCTGCTTAGTCAAATTTTTAATTCTCATTTAAAGGGTTGGCCGAGTTTTGTAAGGAAACCTAGGAACAGTTGGCTCGCTCATGGTAGCTCGGCATTTAAAACTTCTACCCAAGGAACGTTTTCACCATATAAACAGGGAACAATAGGCAACAATCAGTTTAATTGAATTGAAATTCGGGAAACTATAAGAAAAGAGTGCTCCTTGAACAAGATAAAATTTAGCTATGAAATAAACAGTTATAAATCAATGCAAAGGGCTTGGCATATAAAAAGTGTAAGGGGCAAAAACAGAAGAAAGGTGACACTTTTTCTTTTTCTCTATACAAAACGAAATTGGTCAAGAATATAAGAAAGCCAGAAAGTGAAGTGTTTGAGGATGACATCGCTGAGGAACTTGAAACCAGTTTGTCCAAACCAAGACGTGTGCAGGTGGGTAATGTACTATACTCTGTTATTTTAATACAGAAAACCCAAACAAGTGATGATGATCAAGTGATGCGCTCCCTGCATATGGAATTGACTTGTTCATGAAAAATCTAAACCGAAATTCATCGTTAGTGTTGCGGACACCTGCGCGTCACGACAAAGGGCTAAATTTTATTTCTTTTTCAAGGTTCAACCTGGAGAATACTATAGACTGGAGAGTCACCTTCATGATATCATGACTCCAATTCCTGCATTGATGCGATCGCTATGTCTAGATGAAGAAAAGGAAGAAGAATACCTTCCAACAAATACACCAAATCGCGGGCTGGAAGTTCTAAATAAGTGTATTGAAAGATTAAGCGGTGGAAGAATTAGTCCGGTGCTCTTTCAACTCACGCAGCCAATTGAAGATGTCGCCAGAAGCACGCGCTCCTACATAAGACGCAAGTCAAATGAAGTAGTAGGAACAACACTAGAATGTATTGCACCAGGGCAGTCTAATGAACTTCTTGCATTGGTCGCAAATCCAACGCCAATAGAACCTGAACCAGTAAACAACATTATGGCGACCCTGCTTTCACTTTATGAAGGCTCGACATCTTGGTATACAAAAATGACAATCTTGTCTATTTTTGCGCAGCACTACACTAAAACGCAACTGAAAGACATGGTTCCAGGCCTCACAACTTGGCGAATTGATCAAGCAAGAAAGCATGCTGTGGTTGTTGGTGCAGGCCATTCTGAAGTTAGAAAACCCGTGATGCGTTATCGTCTTGAAGGAGAGAAAGTCGACCACTCCCTAGATTTTATAAGTAGCCCTCACTACCTTCAGGATGTAGCCTATGGTAGAAGGAAGATAAAAATGTCATCTGGAGTATGTTTGGAGATACCTGACTTAGTGCGCGCTGTTATTAGTTCCAGAATGGTCAAACTATATCAGTTGTATTGTAGTGAAGTTGGATTTCAACCTCTTGGTAGATCGACCCTATTTTCTATCCTAAAGATAAAGAGAAAAATAACTAGAGTAGTCTGAACTATTAACTGTGATTTTGGTCAGAATTAACAAGAGTGTAAAATAGCGGCTGCAAGTAATCTAGACTCTTTGGTTGTGGGAAGCAGGATAAAAAGCCACGTTATGTAGTGATGTGTTACCAAATTTTTTCATTCACAGATATGTGCAGCTTCCCAGAAAAAGTCCCTTGCCGGCCTCGATAACGTCACAAGCGAAGGTGCATCAGCATTTGATACATTGGAAAAGGTTGTAGAAACGCTTAACCTACAACCTGTATGTTAGTAACCAACCCCACCGTCTATTCTGCTTTTACGGCCTATTTAATTTTTGTTCGCTTGTGGATGACTTTGCTAGGTGAGATTTAGAGTATGAGCCGATTTATTTGTACTTGCTGTAGGTTCATCTCTCCAGTGGGCTGATAACGTTAGACAAAGGGTTACAAATTTCATGTGTTGAAGGAAAGTCCCTGTGCTGATCACTGTATACGATTCGCCCTATCATCCGATGATGTCGAGTACAAAACGGCCTGTGACCATGAACACACTATGCAGTGTGATCGATGTTTAGACTGTGCTAACGTCGCTCACGACATCATTGCTGGACTAGACAGTGGTGATATTTCCTTAGGTAAAACATACAGTTGCATACTATTAGTCATATGCCAAATATTTATGACTTTAAGGAAAACGCGACCCGCGCTTTTTGTTGCAAACATTAAGGTTGGCACCCTTGTCCCTAGCGTCCGTTACGCGAGAAAAAAGAAACAACGACATCAAGAACAAACAAACAAAAAAGTAGAAGTTTGTCGCTTACGACAAGTGCCTTAACCTTTGTCTAAGGCTTTCTTCATTGTACGATATATTGTTAACAGCCAATGCAGAAGAGAATTGAAAAAGCGCGAACAATTAGTATTAATTCCCTTTCCATTCTTCCCTGTACTCATCTCGCTTGGTGAAATCTCCAAAAGAGCATTTTCTGTAATGTTGTCATTATTTCAAAATCAATTTTTTTTTCAGTTACCAGGAACAGAAAGAAGAGCTCAAATATGACATCGAGAAAGCCACTGAAAGAATTATGGACTGGAAATCGCACATAGTGAGAGGTACCAACCAAGAAAAAGCCAAAATAAACATTCTTGGTAATCTTACTGAGCGGCAGGTGCTAGTGGTGATGGATTGGGCCATGAAATGGCTCCCAAGAAGCTACAGAGAAACCCAGGCAGAATGGTTTGGGAAAAAAGGAGTCAGTTGGCATGTGTCGGCCTGCATAACAAGACCTGCACGAGGAAGCGGAGTTTAACGAAAACAAATTTGATTTCTGATTCTAATTATCTTTAAACTTCAAAGCACGTCACTTGAATTGATTTGTCAGAAAAAAATCAGTTTCATTCCTTACGAACAAGCCATAAACTCACGTGTAATGCATTTTTTTTTTCGTGCTAGCTGCTTTATACAGGCATAGTTTTTGCGGAAGATGAAGTGAAAGATATATATTTTTTGCCCCAGTCCGTTGGAGTGCATGTAAAACAAACAGACATGTGCTCCGTATGTGGACGGAAACGCAGATCTAGTGAAGTGTTGTACGTGAGACAACGGGAATCAATGGCAGATCTAGGAGGAGGCTGGGTCCCTGGGGGACTCGGCCAACCACCTTCTTCTTTGGTCAAACTGAGGCCGCAAGGCCGACATGATATATATGTTCTGGATAAGCAGAGACTCTCTGCTAAGTTGAGGGTGTGAATCCGCTAGTGAAAATACAGGTCCACTCAGGTTTAAGTTTGAACCGTGGGCGCATGTTTCCCCCACCCAGGCTTATAAATATACCGCTGGTTACATGTAACTTTTCATGGATTAGCACCCCGTTTAGAGGAGAGACAGAGAGAATTTACGTCATTTCACTCAGAAATATGACAAGATCGGGGTTCCTGGGTCTTCTTGTTATTTTTCTGAGTTGTCGTTACTCGAGGTGAGCCGGGAGAGCAATGCAGGCGTAGCGTTACATTAAAAATTTTTAATGCTCATTTTGTTACAATCTTTTTGTATTTTTTTCATTCCAAAGGTTCGGACTTTTGTTCACATTCTTGATAAAGGCAACCAAGATTGGTTTGCAGTATTATCGATTCTGGAAGACTTTGTTCAGCAGCTTAAGCTGTTGTCCCCACTTCTGAAAGAACTATTTTTACGAAGTGACAACGTTGGCTGCTACCACAACGCTGCGTTACTTATCAGTGCGCCAACCATTACAAGAACAGGGGGGTTGGCGCTTAAGAATTACAGCTTCAGTGAGGCGAATAGCGGGAAAGATGTCTGCGACAGAAAGATCGCACCCCTCAAAGCACACATCGGAAGATATCTTAATGAAGGTGATAAACAGTTTCAGGGCTATCAAAAATTAATAAGAGGCTGTAAAAATAGTAAAGTTATTTGAATTTCCGAAGACCTCAAAAAGTCCCAAGAGCAACAAAAAACGTTTTGCGTTTTAATTGGCCCGCCAACGGTTCACAGCACCCTTCTTTTCACAGTTTTTACGGATAATTCTGTCTTGTTTTAGGTCACGTTGTTATAACAGCGCGTCAATTAAAGGAAGCTATTGACTCCTATGGGGGAATAAAGGGCTGTCGAGCATCAGTGATTGAATTAGACACAAGGAAGCAAACAACTAACGCGCCCAAGTTAAGTGGTATTAGCCAGTTAAACAACTTCGAATATACTGAAGATGGTGGAATGACTGTCTCGAAGGCGTTTAAAGTTGGAAAAGGTAGGAAAATTTTCAAACAAGAGCTTGCTAAGGTGGGCCAGCCACAGAGTGAGACAGGGGTGAAAGTAATATTGCCTTTTTGTGATCTAGTTAGCGTTACCGGGTTGTTGAAGAAAGCTTCGACGCGGCCGCCTGGTGACCAAACCAAACAGACCGTCGTTTCTCCTACAAATGACCCGGGCCTTCCTTGATTCACTTGCCCCGAACAGGGCTGTATCGTCAAGACGTTCAGAACAAATCAAACCCTTCAGAGACACTTGGAATTTGGCCCCCATGAGATTAAACTCCACGAAGAGTCACAATATTACCAGATCAGACACAAATGGGCTGAGCATTGCTTAAGTTTGAAACCACAAAATCCCTCCTGTGCCTTAACGGCCAGTTCGTCCTTTGGAGTAACGGAAGAAAATGTTTTGTCTATGGGGTGGGCGCAGACTAAATCAAAGCGAAGAAGCAGGTTTTCTGTTAAAGTTAAGAGCTATCTGCTCGAGCAGTTCATGATTTGTGAAGAAACTGGTCGGAAAGTCACCCCTGCCGAAGCTTCAGCACGAACGCGCGCAGTAGGTACCGAGGAGGGAGCTCAGATATTTGGCAAAGACGAGTGGCTCACTCCCCAACAAGTTAATAGCTACTTTTCGAGGTTGGCTGCAATGAAAAAAATCGATCAGCAACCAGCAGCATTGGTTAGTCTCGAAGAAGAAGATGCTGAGGCAATAGTCGAGCGTTCAGAAAGATAAGACCTGCGCAGAAGGGTTCTCAACCAGCTAACGCTCTAAATTCAGTCTACCAGTAACTGTTTGTATCTTACTACACTGTCCAACTTACGTGAAACTGATTATTTCTGTATTGTTAGAAAAATTACATCAGACTTAAGCTTGTAAATAGGCGAATATTCGCTTTTGAAAGAGCGTAGGTTCATGTAAAAATTGCCCGCAAAAGGGAGAGAGAGATGAGAGAAGAGGAGAGTGCGCAACCCTTGAACCATTTTCACCGCAGGTTAATTGTTAATTGGGCTAAGACTTCCGTCATGAGATATGAAAGGACTGACTAATAGCTGCTCTCCACAGGTGTTGAGAGTGGTATTCATGTGCATCGATAGCAATGAATCGCAATATATCTTAGATATATTGCCACTTCTCTAATATTATCGAAATCGCTTTAGAATAGTCAACGATCTACTCTCCCAACCCTAGATTAGCACAATACATAGAGTTGCGATATTACAATAATAATACCTATATTTATACAGCGCTCATATAGCGCTCATATCCTGAGCGCGTGGTGCTGAGTCTGATTCTGTTATTCATAACAGAATCAGGGACGTTATTGAGATGAACAATAGACGGGTAAATGTTTGACAAACACGAAAAATGTTGCATAAAAGATGATGTTATGAGATTTACGTAAGCGGAATAATGGGTTCATATGGACTACAATAAAAATTGCAGTTCTAATCAAGCAGGAATTTCTATTGGGTGGCGATGTGTCAGAATGCCAAGCTATCATTAGCCTGCGATCGTGATTGCTGATCGCAGATTAGGCTACCATCACTGTCTGGGAACCCATTCTACCATGCAGGCAGGTTCTGACCGAGGAGCGACTGGGCACAAGTAGAACAAAATGGCGGCAAGTGCAATACCTGGTTCCTTGACCTCTATAATTTTAATCTTTAGCCAAACTGGACATGAATGAAAGCCTTAAAGAACTGTGCGTGGATATACAATTGAGAAGGAAGACCGAACTATTGGAGAAAAGTTCAAACTTTACGATTTTAGGTAATCAGACTTAAGAGTCTGGCTTGACTCCTCCGTCGATCAACGTCGGCAGGTATCTTGCACTTCAGTTTCCAAACTGCAGGACTTCGAACAGAGGCAGTATGTAGGTGTAATTTATATATGAAGTTAATTTAGTAGTCAATGATTTTGTATGAAGTCCCTAGATCTGTCTTTGTCCTTTACTCACCTTCATTTTTTTTCTATACTTGAAATGAAACCTGTTGACTTCGGTGTTATTCCCAACGCACACATACTGAACTTTTGACCGTAAAAATTGTATGTGGCATTTAACTTTACACAGTTTTCTTCGCATATTCGCTTTGTATAATGGCAATAAAAAAAGATAAGTGTTATTTCAACTTTATAAACAACGCCGCAATTTCAATATTCAACGACAATTTTACCACAAAATCCTTACTGTCACACGTAGTCCCAAAAAGGCTAATTTTAAAATTATGTCTACTACTAAAATACAAAACGCCTGAACTTAATTATACAATTACTTGAATAAGAAGTTATTACTATATCTAACATGATGATTTGATCGTGAAAGGGTCAATACACTAGTAGAAACTTTGGTGTGAAATTGAGTAAAAAATTTAACCATTTTTGAATAATACCTGCCGTAGATCTTTTCGATCGCAATATCTTCTACAAGTTAAGGAATTTTGCAACAATATTGCACACATGGTTTTATCACCTCAATATGTTCACCTACCTAGAATATAAACAAAATCCGTTATGTTCACTGTAGACGGATTTTTTTATAATGCATGGTTTTCATATGGACTCTCTCTTAATTCTTGATCTGTGCTGCTTGACTAAAGAGTGGCTCCTTTTTCTTGTCTTTAAAATTGACTGGTGAGAGACTTCGGAATAGACTGAAGCATTTTTTTTAAATGCGCATTAGATACATCAGTGCTTGGCACTTTTGTGTTAACTCTCCCGCTTTATGCACCTTCTATGCTAAGCCGTGTAGGTTTCCCTTACGGACTCTTATATACATGGTTGCTTGCGTAATATAGTGGTTGTAATCTCCTTAATAAGCAACAGACAATTAAAAAAAATGCAAACTTACAACTTCTGTAGCTTAGATAGATTGTAAAATATCCCAAATGAAAGCTGTTTAATTTGGTTGTTGTACAGCGACCTGCAAGAATAAGGTTGAGGTTAAGTAAGAATTATTAGTGAAAGACGACCTCATCCTTGTTTATTTAGTTATTTATTTTCTTGTTTGTTTGACGTTGGAGCTATGTTATAAACACTATTTTTCATGCACCTACTTGCATTGTTTATAGGTCTATTTGTTTTCCAGGCCTAGTGTACTGTGATTGAACATGATTGCTATTTTGGGGTGTACAAATAAGACTATTAACTCCGCGATGTAAAATTTGTTTCACTCTTGAACTGTCAAATTATTTTTCTCTAAAATCACTTATCGTTCGCCTCAAAAGTAACATGAATGTGCCCTGATCTGTGGATTACAAGTTTATTGTTTGATTTAAATTATGAATTTATTAACGAGAGCTTTGCTTTTAGCCCTGGCTAAATCTATGTATTAGATTAAACTGACGACTAACAAGATATATTTAAGTAATTTGTGCAAGTCCATGGTTTGCACTATTTTATTGTCATTGATTATTTTAGTTTAAAACTAGAAGAGGGTTTAAAGGTCAAATGAAAAAAAAAATAATAAATTTTTTCTCTTTTTTGTTTCACCTTTACCCTGGCAATCACTAAAAGGAAGCAACCTAAGTCAGATTTGGGCAAAGGTTTTTTTTTCAAAGGCTTTGTAAAATCCGAGCAGTTACAAAGACTTTTGAATGACCAAAACGATTGATATAATGTGTTAGGCAACGACCGATGGCTTTGGAAGAAGAATCTCATGACCCCTTCGATGGCCTACAGCGTGAGCGTATGATTTATTTCCGCTACAAATGGTTGCTATGAAAGTGACGATATATCATTGAAATGAATACGTTCAGTAATTCCTTCAGGAAGTTTTGTGATCTTTTACCCTAACCCCATGCTGTTTCTCTTTCTTTGGCCGTTTAATGTTCTTGTAAAAAACATTGCACTTTTTTGTTCAGTAGCACAGTTGTACAGTAATAGGCGAGATACCTCTAGTCTTGATATTCCCATTGCCATCCTCGAGGTCTTTCTATGATCTCTTCTTAATATATAGATTTAGCCAGAGCTAAAAGCGGAGCTTCCGCCTTTGCATTTTAAATTTAATTACTACAGACAAATACAACAAACAACAACAATCTATCTGCAAAAGTGCCTGTTTCCAGATTGACGATTTTATTATTCCACAAATACCAACAGGAAAATGAATTACAGTAATATTCTTCTATAATATAAAACCTCAGGCTAATTCTTTCATAACCCACTGCTACAAAATTTGTTTGCTAGTATCTAAAAAAATAACGTCTTGTTTGCGAACGATTAAATTTTCTGGGATGGGTAGATTTACTTAGCTATGGGGCTCCGCCCACGCGCGCGCGTGGAGCTCCGCTAAAAATATATTAAAAAATGGAATAAATAACGATTAAAAGAGAAAATATTTACAATTATCGTATGAATAAAATTTAAAGTGCAAATAATATATGCTGGACTGTGCCCGCTTCTTTAACAATTTAAAAATACGAGAGGTAAATAGATTAATTTAAAATCGTCACACTTTTTAAGATTGCCAGGAAGGTTATTAAAGAAGGCAGCCGCAGTGTCCTGGAATGTTCCGTTTTCCAGAGGAACTTTTAATCTTATAGAATCCGAAGAGCGCAAACCTCTGCATGTAATTTTAAATATTAAGACCGCTGCATGGCGTGAAGTGCCTTAAAAGTCAACTTAAACAAATTAAAATGCCTTCTCTATTCTTTCAACTGAGGTTCAAATCAACTTTAAAATGTCTGCAACATCATTTACGTATTTGCCATAAACGAAACTTGCGGCAGCAAAGGAAGTTTTCTGAAGACGTTTTAACAAGTATCCTGGCAATGGTGAATAGACCTAGTCGCAATAGTCCATCCTCGATAATACAAGTGACTCTGACAGTTTCTTAAGTAGGTGGAAGTCTGTAAAATGTTTTAATTTTTGCAATGTGCGTAAGACTCCATAAGAAGCAATAGCAATGATTTGAAAATTTCTAATTTCCAGCTCAGCTCCAACACATTAAAAACAAATTGACAAAAATGTTAGAATTTTATTGAAGCTCAGACATTACGTGTCTCTGAATACACTCCGTATCTGTACCCAAATTATGGATTAATGAGCTTGGGCAGTGCATGCCAAACTAAGTTACATAATTAAAGTAAATCAAAATAACTGGCTTCGTTGCGTCTTCTTCGGAAATAAAAGAGAAAGTCCCACACCTTACTTTAGACTATTAGAAATCTTAAAACTAGAAAGCATTT